CAACCTATCACAAGCAGGAGTGTGGGGAAAAAAAAAAAAAAAAAAAGCTCTCTTTCCCACCCCTCCACATTTCACTTGGGTTTCCTGAGAGGAAATGATGCTCCGGTGTGACTGCGCTGGCCCCCTCCTTCCTCCCGGGAGGGAGGAGCGCGCCAGCATCTGCCCGCAGCCCCTCTTCCCCTCCCTGTGCCCCACTGGGACCAGCTGGCCAGCTGGGCTGTTACTGGGGGCCAAGCCCCGAGGGAGTCAGGCTGCTTCTCAGGAAGAAGCTGCTCCTGAAGCTGGGGGCTGGGGGGCAGGAAAGGCAGGTTGTGCTCAGGCGGTGCCAGAGGATCCCTGCGTGAGCAGCAGTAAGTCACTGCACCCCTGCCCGCGCCAGATTCCCCACCTGGTGAAAAATAAAGGAGAGGAATCGGCCTGCCCATGGGGTGATGTGAAGGGTTTCAGCACAGCTGTGGTGATGCTTCTCATGGTGGGGATCCAGTTCTGGATGGTCCACGCCAGCACGTGGGGACATCTAACCCAGCCACGTGGCTCCGGCAGTGCCCCACAGCCTCCCGGGGTGGGTGCAGAAGAAGGGAAGGAGCCGGGCTGCCGTGACGGTGGTGGCCAGGTGAAGACAACACCCACGCTAAGACGCTCTGTGAACATCTGCCCCTACCCACAAGCTATTTCTATTTTTGTTCCGTCTCATACCCTGACTGACTCAGAGGAGGGGAGCGAGGGGGGGCAGGTTAGAAGGAGCCAGCCGGGGGCTGCAGGAGGTTTGAAAGAGGAAGAGGAGGAGGAGGTCCTCCGAAACCAGGAGTTGCTATTCTTTCAATCAGCTTGAACGTTTTCCTCGCCCAGTCTCTTTCACGCTTCTCTGTTTCAGCTGCAGGCAATGCGAGGCAGGGCCGGCGCTTCCTGCCCGCTGGTGAGGTGAGCATACTTTCGGGGCACCATCAGCAGAAATGACACCCTGCTCTTAGAGAGCCCCACTGTCACCTGCCCGGGCTGTAAGGAGCTTGGCTGGAGTTCATCCTTTTGCCTAACTTCTTCCAGAGATGTCCAGTTCTCTTTTTGGTCACTTTGCAAAACTTATCTACAAGGAAAGGGCAAGTGCCAAATTTCCTAATGCCCGTGCGTCTGAGTGACATAGCTTCCGGACACAGGCACCACCTGAGGTCTGTAGTGTAGGTCTTGCAGGTCCTTGAGGCACAGTCTTGCAGCCTAGACGTTTTCCACAAAGAAAGGGACATAAGACCCCCCCAAACAGCCATGCCAGCAATTTTTCTGTGGCAGGTGACCCTCCCATCCCCGACCCCCGCCTCCAGAGCATTCATTAATTCTGCAGGTATGGGACGTCTTGCTTTGTCCCAAGCTGTTACTCCTTTTTTCCTCCTTCGCTGCCAGGCTGCAAACCTTGGGCCAGGTAACCGCATCCTGGGGGACGTTCTCCAGGCAGCCCGCGCTTATCGCTCCCGGAGCTGCCCTGATGCACACTGCGGCCCGGGCAGGGGAGCCAGCGCTTTCCGAGGGGGTCTAGGAGCCGGCAGCTCCCATCCCCTGAGCAAGCAGTGCCCTTGCAGGCAGGTGCAGGCAGGCCTGCCTGCGCTCGGGCTTTGCTGGGGGCGAGGACATACACACTGAGGGGGAATAAGGGGAACTGAAACGCCCTTTGCAACCTGGTGTGAGAAACCTGCCCCAGCGCTGCCCTTCCTCCTTTCCCTCCTCCTCCTCCTCCTCCTCCTCCTCCT